CCTTGGAAATCCTGACCAATGGACATATGCAGTCTTTCAGTATATTCTCAGGCACAGGGCACTTATTACCTGATAAAGCAGTCTGTTATTCAGATTTTGGAAAATTTTCCTCTTGTAGAGCTAAAATCATTCATTCCATTGCTCAAAAAATAGTGAGGGCCCAGAAGGCTTCAGCCATACTTCTGGTGCTGATACAGCACTGGCAGACCTGATAGTCTGATGCAACTTTGGCCGGTCAATCCTAATTCTACATACCACTTCTAGCTCTAGATTTCAGAACCACAGAGAGTGAATCCAATAGCCCAGTGAAGTCTAGGTGCACGTAAACAAATAGCAGCCAGCTGGAAACTATAATGGAAGAAGTTCTGATTCATCATAATTCCCTCAAATATAAAATAGTTTAAAAAGTACTTAAGATAAAATTTGTAGGTTGAACGTGAAGACAACTATAAAAATTTACTAAGGGCCATAAAAGATGACTGGAATAAATGGAGAGACATAACATATTTCTGGGTGGGAAGACTCAACATTGTAAAAATAATGCTTCTCAAATTAATCTAAAAATTTAATGCAACCGCAATCATAATCTCAGTTATTTTCTGCTTGAAACCTAACAAAGTTATTTTCAAGTCCATATGGAATAATAAATACGTGAGTACAGCAAAGAAGCTCTTGAAAGTGGGGAAGGGAGGGTGAGGGACTGATCTAGACATTAAAATGAACAATGAAGCTGAAATGATTAAAATAGTGCAGACCAAAATTTCACTGGTACAATAGAAAACCCAGAACATACGTATGCACATATTACCTACACATGGACATTAAGCTATAAATACATCGGTTATGGCTGAAAGGTGTTAGGACAAATGGAAGGTATCTTCTAGGAAGATAATCAAGTTCCTGCTATATCCTGTACTACATATTAAAACAAATTCCAGCTGGATTCCAGTGCAAAAACAAAACTATTAAAAGTATGCATTATCATTGATAAACACTTTGGCTTTCTATGCAAAAATCAATAAAATCTTGGGTTTTCTAAAGAGGAGATAAAATTAACTGCATAAAGCTGAAAATGTCCATACTATCCTTTTCCCTTACTAAGCCAATAAAATAAAACATATTTAAGAGATAAAACCACAAATTGGAGAATATTTATAGCTTACATGACAGTCAAGAGATTAATTTTTTTAATAAATAAAAAGCTTTTAAAATTCAATGTGACAAACATAAGCATCTCAGTAGGAAAAAGGACTAAGGGCAGAAACAGGTAGTTTACCAAAGGATAAATATAAATAACCAATGACATGTGACTAAAATGCTTTCATCAGTACAAATATAATAAATGTAAATCACAATGAAATGGAAATTGATTATCATATTAACAGGGGTGAGTAAGATTTAGGGTGGCAAAAATGTGAGCAAATGAGCTCTCTTTCATTGTGTGTGGAAGTATAAAGGGTTACAAATTTTCTGGAGGATAATTCGGGCAAATTTTTCCAAGACTTTAAAATGTTAGCTTTCTTATTAACCCAGCAATAGAAATGCATACATCAATCTATAAGGATTACCATTGTAATCATATTAATAATACTGAAAACTATAAATAATCAGAGGGAGGGTAGAATAAATTATGGCAAGTTGATATGATATTATGCTAGGCAGCCATTAAATAATATACAAGAATAATGTCACGAAAAAGTCACCATAAATTCTTGAGTGAAAAAAGCAAGTTACTTAAAATTTAAGAAGTATAATTATATTCATGTATGTATGTATATATTTAATTAAGTGTACATATATGCATTTAATCAGATGTACTCAGACAAATATTAATAGGTAGTTATTAATAGGTAGTGAGAAGGTATTTCCTTCTGTGAATTTACACTTCCTAAATTTTCTATAATGTTTATACATTACTTTGGCAGTAAGAAAAAATAAAAAGTATGTATCTAAAAATAGATGTATTTTTTTAAAGCAATAGAAATCCCTTTTTCAAATGAAATATTACCTAAAAACCCAATTCGTGGAACCAATAAAAAGGGAAGCGTAGGAGTGGCAAGACTTGCTCACTTGGTGGGCATCCTTGAGCACTATTTTGAAATGTCAGGGCTGGGGGAATTCTGCTGAGAACCAATGCAGGTACACACCATCCCTAGGGCCTACATGATGTGTCGTTCATGAACACAGGCCCCATGATTGCTGGTCACCTCCATAGTTACTCATAAATTGTTTAATAGCTTAGTCCACTTAGTTCTTTATATTCATTGTCATACGTCCATTTGTTAAGCACTTTTTGAAAAGTTTTCTAGATTTTAGCTTTGCAATATCTAGTTTAGTTGTGGATTAGAACTAAAAGGATTTCATCATTACCAGAAATATCTGTAGATAATTATGATTTGGTGCTACTTCCTCAGATTTCATCGAAGGTTGATAGGAGAGATGATTTCATGAAGAGTGTATCTCCATCTTCCCTGAAACTGTTATTAAATATGTTGCCCACTACAGTGTTTGAAGTTCCCTTATACAAGGATACATATGATAAATTTCCCTAAAATTTTTATACCAGAAAAGAAATTTGCCCATTTTTATAAATAAGTATGATTTCCTTTTATAATGCTGTATTATTCCTATATAACTAATCATGTTTCCCTTTTGGCTTTGGCTGCCAGAAAGCTCAGAGCTATATTTATTGCCAAACCACAGCAACGAACAGCTGTCTAATTTTGCAGAAAAGCTCTATTCCAAAGCACTTGAGTATTTACTCTCAACTAAACGGTCCCATGGTATGCATGGCTCATGTTATGAGTTGTCTCAAATCCAACTTGGAAATAGGCGAGGATTAATAACAAACACACAAATAAACGCATAAGTAATTTAGACCAAGCAGCGTTGGTATTTGGCGGCAGAAAATGCTTACACCTAGAGTTTGGTTTGTATCAAATGCCTACCGGGCACATTGCTTTATCTGAAGTACCGTTCTCAAGTGAGCGTGGCCCTTGGTACAGCCATGGACTTTTCGGTCTTTTTGACACTGAGGTCCACTCCTACATTCACCCATCCCATGATGCTGGCTCCCTAGAGGGCGTCTGCGTGGCATCCAATAGGGATGTCAGGTTGAAAAGTGTGGCAAGAGAGCCAGGTACAGATAAACTAGCAATTTATACAGGGACTGTAACCTTTACTTAGTAAATAAAACAAGATCTTGCTGAAATGGACAATTTTCACACATAAAAATAAATAATTTTTAGGTATTGGGGTGTGTGTGTGTGTGTGTGTGTGTGTGTAAGTGTGTTTATTATAACGTTCAATGGTAGACTAAAAAATACCAGGTGAGTTAAGATACTTCTTTACCTTTCTAGAAGGTCAAATATATATTCTTACTGTGAACATTACTTCCATTATTTTATAAATGTTGAGTGCTGAAAAGGGCATAGAGTCTGGAGGAAAGGGAACCAAAATTATTTTGAATGGCTGATATAATCTTTTTACTTTCATTATTTCATTTAAGGGACACTATTCTCTTTTTCTGAAATGATGAAGCTCTTCAGCAGCCTCCCTAATAACAAGGGAAGACACTAACATAACAGACATTGTGTTGCAATGATTTGGATACAAGCGCCCCTTAGGGTGCACTCTGGTATAGTAGCCTTGATATAGCACCCTAAGAACTGGCAGGAGCTTTCTGCGTCAGCAACAGATACCTTCGAAGCCTGTGGGAATAGCTTGACCCCTGTGACTCTGCAGTAGGACAGGTTATCATTACAAGAAAGACTTGCCATGCTTTTCACAGGAGAGCCCAAACCAGCTATGAGCAAGTGGATCAGACAGGCTCCTGAGACCCCAAATATCTTTCTCCTCATGAGGGCTTGCCTGATAATCCACAGATGTAGTTTCATTCAAGGCAGCAGTGCTTTGTCCTCAAGAGCCCAGCTCTGGAATCAGGTCTAGTTTTCAATTCCAGCTCCACCTCTTACTGTTGGCTGAATAACCTGGGTGTAGGCCCTAACTTTGAGTATTTCTGTGAATTAAGAAAGGCGGTCAGCCAGCACTTGGCTCACGGTACACCTTCAATATATGTCATCTTCTATTATTATTATTTAGACTTAAAGTACCATCTAACAAAATGCAAATACCCAGAGAGGCATACCTTGTTACCAGTTAAAACCTGGAGGGCCGGGGAGGCGAGTCTCACCACTTGAATGTCAATTAGGATGGCAGTAGCCAGCCAAGGGATCCAGGACTGAAACCTGGGAGAAGCAGGGAACTAGGCCAAAGGAGAGAAACAGCTTTGACATTTTGCTCAGAGCCACAGTGATGCTTCTACACGGAGAAGCACCCGATCGTGGCAGCTATCCAAGCGCAAATCCTCGCTGTTGCAGAAAGGCAATCTAAGTGCTGAAGCCAGATCACAGGACCTGTGGCCCTCAGGCCATTAGGGGCTGCTTCTTTCTCTGTGGACAGTCCACCTCAGAGATTCTAGGTATAGACTTTCTATGGGAAGATAGTAAACTGTGGTGCCACCGCATTAGCTCTTGTTTCTTGTATGCAAGGGTTCTCAACACTGATGTGTGTGGAAATGTGCACACCCCAGGGGGGCTGCTGCCATGGGTACTTGCCCTTAGCGGCCAATGGAAAACCACCACCCTTTTCTTCAGAGCACCTGTGCGCCTCTTTGCACTCGGAGTAGACTTCCATTTGTGGAGTCATCTGTCCCCCCTATAAATCAGCCATTTGTTGATTTTAACATTCCCTTCCTGACCAGCAAGGAGAGAAGAGGAAATGTCATTTTGGTGACTTTCCATTAAGCTGTTGCATACAAAATGGATGAGTGATCTTTTTTTTTTTTTTTCTCTGATTCAGACACAGACCCCTGTCTAAGAGAGAGTCCATTTCACCTCCTGCTGCGTCGGGTGTGTGTGTGGGGTTGGTGGGGGGGTTTCTCCTGGGAGCACACATGCATCTCACACACCCACATGCACTGGGCCCAATGAAGCACTGACCTGTCAGGCCGGCGGCCTCCGCAGACAGGAAGGCGCTCCAAGACAGGAGGAAAAACAGGCCGGTTTCCAGCAGTGGGAACTCACAGAGTTTGGTAAATTTGGTCAAGTGACAAAGACATGTTAAGGGAAACAACAAATGCTGTTACAGCTAAATCTCCTCCTTGGCTGAGGAAAACGAATCTGGTTGAGATAGTTCGGAGTAAGAGAACTGATTTTCAGCGCTGACTGGGAGGCCGTCCCTCTCACTGGGACTGCTTAGAAGGAAGGCCAGCATGCCTTCCATGCTTCGTGGGGACTTGAACCCTCCAGTTAAATGCAAACTTGTGTTCAGATTTAGAAAAGGTGTCCTACTAAGTAAGAAGCTAAAATCAGATAACTGTGGGTGCAAAACCTCTTGCATTTGGCCTTGGCCCTTGGGCCGTGGCCCTCAGGGAACAGCAGCAGATCAGGAAAAACAAAGCCCCCGACAGGGAGGCTGGGAGATGTCCTGCCAGTGCGTCAGCACCAAAGGAGGCCGCTGCTCCCTGGGGAGTGAAAGTCTGTGGACAGATCACCTTAAAGACTCCTCTCTTGGGGATGGAAATAGGACCAGGAGGAACATTTGTTTTCACTGATAGGGAAGCTACCTGTGCCATCTTAGGATAAGTAGGATAGAGGAAAAGGTATATTATTTCTGGGTTGGGCAGCCCTTTGGCAGGCAACGGTTCATTTTGGCTGGGATGACACTTGGTCAATGCCTATAAATTGTGCATAGAGCAAGAGCAGACTGATCCAAATCATGCAGAGAATGGGTTATGGGAAGATGATTAGGAATATGTGATTGATGGAAAAGGGTTACACTGCAACTGTGCCCACAGTTATGGAAAAAAAAAAGTCCTGACAAATAAGGAGATGTTATGTTGCTTTTTTACGCTTCAGGACAAAAATCTAAAGAGATTCTACATTAAGAGATGCTTAGCAGTAGGACAGGGAAGCAAAAAGCATGATCCCTGAGGTGCAAGATCAAGGTCTGAGTCTTGGCTCTGCTAGTCACTGGCTGTGTGATTTCTGAGCAATATGTTAACCTCTCTGAGCCTCATTTCTATCCTATGTGAACTGTCAATGAGAATAATACCTACTCACACAAGTGTGGAGAATAAAATGAGACAAAGAATATTTAAAATGTTTTGCAAAATTTTAGAAAGCACAAAATGCCAAGAGGCAGAATGACAACAAGGTCAGGAATGTAGTCTCTGGAAACCAACTCCACTTCACTGTATCAGCTTCAGCGTGTCCCTTGACCAATTTGTGCCTTGGTTTCCCTATCTACAAATGGAGATAATCATGCAACCTACCGCCTAGGTATATAAACCAGTTATTATGTGTTAAGCACTCAAAAGAGTGCCAGATATGCAACAAGGAATATGTAAGTTTTTCGATTAGTGTGATTTAAATTTGTTTTGTGAAACGTCTTTCCAGGCTATAGATTCAGGAAGCATCTGGAAGCAATTCTTTATCTGGAAGAAAACAAATGTTGCCCTTTGACCCTTTCAGCATTCCCCCTTATTACTTGGAGGGCAGCCTTTGTCTTTAGAGGGGTTTATTCCTCTGAATTCCATCTTCTACTTTGCTGTGGAGGAGGCTTAGGCCACTTCCAGTACCAGAATATCAAGTGGACATAGGACATTTGTCTCTTTCAAACTTCTCCAGAAAGTAGTTTAGTTCTGGGTCAAGATCCAAGCTTTCATAAAGCCCAGGGGTTTTATGAGAAGCATCGCCTCATTATGGACAAGGTATCAAGGCTCATTGTGGAGGAGGGAATGACTGTGCACCTGTCTCCTTTGCATCCTGAGCTTGTGCAGGCAAGGCCTTCAGGGGCTGCATGACAGATCCTCCTGCTGAGACTGAGGCCCTGTCTCTTCTATCTCTCCACCACTTTTTCAGATCTGATCCAGTCTCATGGCAGACTTCTAATCTCCAGGAATTTTTCCCCTTTCCTTACCAACTCGTTTACTTATGTGTCCATACACTCCCTTCACATAAAGCAGAGAAGTGTTCCAATTTCTGTTTTTCCATATAGTGCAGGCTCTGGAGCCAAAAAGTGTGGGTTTAAATCCCAGCCCTGAAATGTCTCAGCTGTATGGCTTTAGACAAGTTGTTTAACCTTTATGTGTCAGTTTCTTTAGCTATAAAATTGAGATAATAACAGTATCTTCTTCCCAGTGTTTTAATAAAAGCTATATGAGAAAATACATCAGCAAAATGCTAATGACAAAGCCTGGCAAATGGTAAAGTTCTCAACAAATGTTACAGTAATTGTAATTGTGTTGGCTATTACCTATATGTGATCCAGAGTCTCTACTTAACCTCCTTGAGCCTCAGTTTCCTCATGTGTAGAGTGAGGATAATAATAGCCTATCTTACAGGGTTGATTCAAATGAGGAGATACATATAAAGGTTTGGCACATGTTAGACATTCACAAAATGTTGCTATTATCATCACTATTACTTATGCAAAACAACATGTGGTCTCCATCATAATTCCACTTAATAATCAAGAGGCAATAGAGATCAGTGATCAAAAGTATGGTCTGTCTCTTGGTTTCAATCTCCGGGTTTGAATTTTGGCTTTAATAAATATAAGCTGTATGATTCTGGCTAATACCTTACTCTTTCTAAGTTTCAGTATCCAACAAAAATAATATTTGCATGATATGGTCATTGTGAGGGTCAATGAAGTATAACATGTAAAAGAAATAGAGGACTTGCATATCATAAGTACTGATATTAGTCATTAGATTATTAATTATTATTTTTATTAGAGATTAGCCCTACCTTTTCTGAGTTACTTTATTTCTTTATCAAAGGAGTTGATACTCTCTACGGTTTCCAGGACAAAATTTTAGAATGAACTTTGACTCTTCTCTCTCAGTCATCAAGTCCTAGAGATGCTTCTAAACATTAGTCTTCTTGATGTTTCTTCCATGGTTCATCATCACAGTTTCTCTTGATTCTATACTGTTTTGACTCATCCTATGAACCAGTTCCTCATTTATTGTTTAAAAATAGGAACTTCAGTATGTCACTCTCTTGAGAAGAAACGTTTAGTAGCTAATTGCAGACTGCAGACAGAAGCTCAGACTCCTTTGAGTAACACTCCAAGTGACTCCACAGGGTGAGTCCAACCCCCTGTGTCTCCTCATCTTCCACTGCTTACTAGCCCGAGGCCTCTGGTCCTCTCAGTCCCATCCCCACATTTCAATGGATGCTGGTTTTCTCCTGAATCACTTAGCACACAGCCTTTATCTATATCTTACCTATATTTCAGGCCAAGCCTACATCCTTCTTTCAAATTATTTTTCAGAATCATAAGCTGGTCAAGAGTCTATTGGACTATTTCAGAAACAATGGACTCACCCACATTTGAATTTTTAGAGTCCTAGTAAGTTGGCTGTGGCTTTGGCATACACCTTCTATGCAACTCTTCTTGTAGAGCTTGTCTTTCCAAGTTTGTTACTAATTGAAGGCAGAGTCCATGTTTTATTCGTCTTTTGACTCATGTTAGAAACCCTTAGTAGAACCTAGCGTTTCAGTAACTGCTCAGTGAATAGAGATTCCCTGGGTCAGTCCCCAAGAAAAAGTACCCAACATTTTACTTTCTTTGCTAGATCCCTGATCCATCTGGCACCCTTCTTCTTTCTCTTTTCCCCAAGGTCTTTTGTCCTTGATTCTTTGTTCTCCCTGTTTTTATGGCCTCTGTTAAGCCCTCACACTTGACATTGGTTTTCCGGCTTTTTTCCTCAACTCTTATTTCTGTCCCACCCAACTGCTCTGACTGAACACATCACCAGACCAGCTTCATTCCCTGGCTCAAATTCTCTAGGAACTCTGTCCATTCCTCCATGACACTACTGCAAAAGAGGGAATGAGATGACACAACTGCCCAGGTATGGCAAATATATCATTTCTGCTCTGCTTGCACATCCCCTTCTGTAAAATCGCTAAGGACATTTGTTTAAACCCGCAGTGAACTTAAGCTCGGCCAGTCCTGTGAGATGGTGACTGAAAGAAGTTTGAAAAGGAAGAAAAGAATACCCAGTTAATCACTCCCAGTCCATCCTGTCTTGTTTTTGACCTTGGATCTTCTGTTCTTCCTCTTGGCCCTAATATAGCCAATCCTGATGTCGCATGCCCACTTATTTTCCTACATGGCAGTATTTTAAGTCTGTTGCTATCTTGAGGTCAGAAAGTATTAGTAATGCTAGAACAGGACTTGGATAAGAAAAGATCATGGTCCCCTCTGCCACTGGTCCCAATCTATGCCTCATAGATTGGGAACAAAGATGGCTTCGGTGGCTTGAAAACTCAGATGACTCCAGTGGCAGGTACCACAGTTGAACTAGACCGTCTAGCCATTTGCCTGGAGGTTGACCATCCTCAGAAACCTTCAAGGCACACTGACAGCTCTTAACAGTTGCCCAGCTTTCCACACACACATTCAAAGGATATCAGTGCAGTGACAACAGCATACGCAGATCCCATTGCAAACGAGCCAGCGAAGATCCCCAGGAAATTCCCCACGGACTGGAAGAATGCTGCAGCATCAAATGCATTTGGATTTTCCTTGGGGCTGTAAATGGATATAGAACTGGAAAGAAAAGAGGGTGAAGGTTAGTCAGTGACTTCTCCCTTATGGTCCAAATACAGAAGTAAGAAGTTAGCACCCACATTTGAGGAGGGTACCTTCTCCCATGAGGTTAGGTGCTGGTTGGAAGAGTTCAGGAGCCACGGATGAGGACAGGGAGAGGTAGAGAAAGCAGAGAGCTTTCCCTTTCCTTAAAGACCAATCCCATGGTATCCATGTATTGCTGCCAGTCAGTAAACATTTTTATATTGGAAGGGTCATAAAGAATATTGTTTCTGAGCAAACTAGGCATTAAAACATGGTAGGTGTACAAGGAATCTGCTGAGGAGATAGATAACTGTGAATTATTTAGTGGCCATATGTCTTCATTGCTGTTATATATTCACAAATGCTCCTGATAAAAAGTGCACTTTTATGGCCTGTGCACAAATGGGCAATACAAATCACAGCATGCACAAAATATTCTGCTGTGATCTTGTCATAAACCACAAAGCATTTCTCCTCTCCAGTGTAACCCTTCAGAAACAGAACCCAGACGCTGCTTAGAGCATCACAGTACTAACCCCTGGGGAGAGACAAAACCCTCATTTTCCCACCGAAACAAATGGCAGCAGCTGCCCGAGGTCATGGTTTATGCCCCAATTCTGGTGGCTGCCACCAGATTTACTTCCATAGAGAAAAATCAATCCACCGATAGGCAGTCTGTTCACTTAAGTATTTTTGAGGACGCCGCATTTGCTTTTTTTTTTTTTAACCAGGACCTCAGATCCTAGAGTGTTATTATGAAGGACAAGGTGCGTCCTACTTTAGGAAATATGAACTCTGTATTGTAACATTAAAATGAACAGATGTGCTAGAACCAGTAGCTTTGGGAGACAAATGAAGTAATATTTCATTTTTTAAATAGTTTTTATTTTAATTATGAGGTCTTTAATCAGGAAAATCAAGAGTTTTGTAATAGGCTCTGGAAGAGTCTTTGTAGCAGTAGAGAGAGCAAAAAGTACACTAGGCACACTGACTTGGGATTAGATTGGATTTGATAGAGATGTAACTGAATCTTTTATCATTTCGATGATTAGACCATGTTAACTCTCTGATTTGACCTTCCGTATCTAGAGAGGAGTTATGGGGGTAGGGGAGATTCCAGTTCCTCTACAGGAAGATGTGTGGCTTTAAAAAGGTAGTTTTAAATGTTCTTAGTTTTTCCCCTGGATGTCTTTAAACCTTTAAAGTAGGCCAGACCCTTCTACTTTGATCATGTAATTGGATAAGGAAGATGAATGTGGATCTCAAATGGCGCCCTTGAAATGTATGTAAGGAAAGGATTGCCTTTGAAGTGTTTTCTTTTTTGTAAAGTGTTGTATTTTGCAGAAAAAAAATGGAAAAGCAAACTCATTTAGCTCCTTTGTATCTGACAGTCCTGAGAATGGGTATGTAACCCCAAGGCATTATGAAACTTGGTGTCCAATGCTGCAAAGCTGGATGTGTGAGTTGACATTCACCAGCAGATTTCTTCATTCCAGTGAAGGAACATAGTGATGAGAAAACATTCTATTTGCATTCTGCTTTTCAAACAAAGAGTTTTGCATAGTCACACAGAATAATTCTGAGAATAATTCTGTTAATTCCTGCAGGCTACTGATAGATCTGATCCATAGGACAGGTACCTCTTCATCCCCATTTCCACCTCTGCACTCCAGAAAGTATTTTCTCTGTCCTTACACTTCTTGACCTTGGAGTATCATCATCACATCATTTAGCCATATCATTATGTAATGTTACTTTCATTATTAATGTAATGTTTTTCTTTAAATCAACTCATTTTTATTCAAATGCAAGAGATTTTATTAAAGAATATTTATGAAGTCATAGGTTTGATGTGCTAATTTTCTTTCTTCTTAATACCTATGAGATTATGTAACTATTACATTTGACGAAAAGTTCACCTGTGTGTCACCTACAATCATCTGAGTAACTGCACTGATTCTCAGTCTGCATTCTGGGAGACATTCTCTTCCTGGGCTCTGATCCCCACCCAACAGGGTACACACAAACTTCATATACTTCTTCCCTGTGATGTTTGATTTAATTTAAGGGAAAAGCTTAACTTCCCTTGACTTATGAAGACTTGTCTGTTGAATTTGCTGCCCTTAAAGCTCTCCAGGATGTAGGCACTGGGTACCCACTAAGGGCCTGGTGGTACATTAGGAGTTATGGTGTTGGGGGTCAGGCAGGGAAAGGCATAGAGAAGTGAAGCAGAATTTGAGTCAACAAACATTTTGTTGTAGGCACAGGGGCCTAAGATGTAGATGACAACTAGCTCTAGTCATGGTGCTAAGTGATTTTTTTGAGAGATACATAACACTTCATGGTGCAAATGAGGCAAGAGTCACTATTTTAGATGAGAGGAGATGGCATTTGAGCAGGGAAGCAAGTCACCAGACAGTGATGGGAAGAGGGTATTTCAGGCAGCAGAAAGAGTATAAGCAAAGGCAAGAAGGCAGATGAGTTGAGGGCCTTTCAAAGCAGAACTATATCATTATGGCTGGAACACAGTGACCATGTATATGGGCATTGATGGAGGTAAAATAGGTAGGTGGCATCACTCAGCTTTAAATTTCATGTTAAACACATACAAAAGTCCTCTCATTTACACAACATTTTGTTCCCTTTAGGCCTGCATTATAAATTCATTTGATCCTATAACATTTCTGCCTAGTGAACTGGGCACATATTTTTATCCCTCCTTTTCTTTCTTTACCCTTTTTTTTTTTTAATAAAACAAAGAAACTAAGAGTCAGAGAACACAGAGCTATGGAGTTCATAATGCAGATTTTTAGTCTCTTCCTTCAGAAAGTTATCTTGTTGGGAGAAAAACAGGAAAAACAGGAACCCAAATCAGGTTAGCTGATTGAGTGCTGTGCTGATTGTAAATGCAGAAGTTCAGGTACCAGACCTTTAATTTCACCCCTGGATGGAACTTGGGCAGGACCTTCCTGTGTCCCACTGTATCAGACGACAGCACCCTTTCCCCCACCTCACTAGATGGCGAGGCTCTGGGCTTCTCATGGGAATCTGCTTTCAGAACTGGCTCCTGGACCTGAGCTTTGCTGGGCCTGGCCAGGGTCTTGTTCTTCTTCATATGCCTGGATGCAGACTGGTGCCTGACATGTGGCAGGCCAAATAAAGGCTAATGAAATAAATGCAGGATGACTGGAAAGTAGAAAAGAAGGAAAGAAGAAATACAGGAAGGAAGGAGGTCTACAAAAGCTAGCCTTGGAATGAATCATCATCTACAAGATTTCCTTTATTAAGCAATGACTTTATATATTTACACTGTGGGTGCTTTTAAGTTCATCACTCCAAACTGAAGATGACACTTGAGACTTTTAACTGGAGCTTCAGAAATCTAATCCTTATTGGCTCTATGGCCTTGGGCAAGTTATTTCATCATGCTCAGACTCAGTTTCAAAGTCTGTAAAATGGAAATGTTAATAGTACTTATCTCCCAGAAATGCATGAGAATGTGAGGTACATTTAAAACCTGTATATTTATCTTGTGGACTGTAGGGCCATTTACTGAGTGCTAATTATGTGCATGAAAAATATACACTCACTGAATGCTGACGATCACCACCACCACCATCGCCATTCTGCTGAGAACTTCCATAAGCCCCACAGGACAGAGAACAGAGTGCTGTGGCTGAGCCAGGCCCCAGCTCCAACTACACAGAGATGGGGTGTGGCTTCCCTTCTGGTACACCAGGCTTCTGGGTTGCTGCAAGGAGCTAGTCACTTTTGCATAGGAATAGAAGGGTCTCTGGGGAGGACATGGCCATTGAAGTGAGGCTAAACAACTGTTGTGTTTATTGCAGAGCTCTTCACTCCACAGATCCACAAAGAAAGGAGTGTCCTCTGCAGTCTGGCTGGGGATCTGTCTCAGGACAGGAATAGGCGAGGAGACTGAGCTTGAGTTGCATCACCCTAGTTAAGTAGCACCCATACTGGATATTCTGTAGACAAAGCCCCCTGGCTTCTGGTGAGGAGTGAGGTAAAGAAAGCAGGTAAAGAAAAGTCAGGCAGATTGCATCTCTCCCGACCTGCCAGGATTTTAAGAAGGTGTTCCTCTGGGCTCTAAATCCTGGTGAAGGAGGCATCTCTTTGGGCTCTGGTTTTCAGCTGCAACACAAAGCCTTTGGACTATGGGGCAGCAGCTGCAGAGGGTGCTTTCTGGAAACAAACAAGGGTTTGGGTATGTAGAGCTTTCCAACTTCAACCCAAGAGAGGAAGAAATAGCATGTCCCAGCAGTTGCAGCCCTTTGGACTTAAAAAGAAAACATTTCCTCCCCTGCACTGAGGGACATGATTGGACCTATTCGTGGATGCAAACATTGGAAGGGAGAGAGGAGAAGAAGAATTAGACTTTCTGCTAATCCGTGCGGTGCTTGTTCTCTGGGGCACTACTCTGAAAAGGCATTGTTTATAACACAAGCTGGTAAAGATGGATCTACAGTCCCCATATTTCTAGAAAGAATATTTGAGATAGATGAAACCAATATCCTTGAAAATGATATGAGCAGAAATACAGAGTGGTATTTAAATATTCATCTCATAAATTGGAAATAAGTCCAGGTTATTGATTCATTCTATTCAGGAATAGATTATTCAGCAAAAACGAGTTTGATGATAGTATATCGTATCCGTTCTCAGAAATAAATGTGTGCAGCATCTTCTATTCAAAAATTTTGAAATGGATGAAATATCCTAAATTCCTTTGATGAAAGTAACATGAATAAGGATCACGTTGCTCGCTGTACCATTTAAGATACACAGACAGGATCACAACTCTGGTGTTTCTCGACAACCCATTATTTAATCTTTATGATGTTCCTTCAGGGAACTTACCTGGCAGCTTAGGTAGTATTAAGAGCATAGAATCTGAATCTGGGTTCCCATCTCAGTTCTGCCACTTACTGCCTGTGTGACCTTGAACCAGTTACTTA